ACTCCACTGATGTGCAGTGGTCCAGGACAAAAGCTGCAGTACAACAAGCTGCACTGAACAAACTTGGTATCACGAAAAGCTGCTACAAAGATTGGGTTTCAGAGGAAACCATCCGTCGCTCAACCCCGGCCAGGAACACCCGTCTAGCTGGCCACGACGATTGCCAGCGACTCAGATGGGAAGCAACCCGCTCCGCAAAAGCAGATCGGCGCAACTAATGGAACGAAATAGCGAACAAGATGGAAACCGCAGCTGGTACGTGTCACTTCAGAGATCAGCGTCCGATAGAAGGTAATCTTTACAACCCGTTCTGCGCGAATCCTCCGGGGGACTAATCTCCGATATCGACGGTAGAATAACCAGATGGGTAGACCATTTTAGTCAACTTCTCAGTTATCCGTTGGGCCGTTCGGCGAATATTCATCCCGATTTGGCGTCCCCATACGAGGTCGACTGTGATCCCCTAACGATAGATGAAATAGCCGTAGTGATCGGTCGCTTGAACTCTGGCAAGGCCCCTGGTGAAGACGGAATCCCGGCGGAAATATAAGAAATGCCTTCCGGTGGTCATCAAACCGCTTTACTCTCTCTTTCACTTTGTTTGGGAGACCGAAACATGCCCAACTAAATGGAACACCTCGGTTTTGCTTCCGTTCTCCAAGAAGGACGACAAGACACTTGCGAGAATTATGGGGGCATCAGTCTGCTAGATGTGGCTGCAAAAGCATATGCCCAGCTTGTGCTTAATCGATTTGCTACAGTGAGGCATGTACGGACGCGGCCAAACCAAGGAGGCTTCCAACCCGGCAAAGGATATATTGATCAGATTTTCATCTTAAGGCGAATTCTGCAACAATGATACAAGTTTCTGCGCCCCAGCGCTACATGTTTCATTGACTTTCGCGTCGCATTCGATTCAGTGGACCGCGAGTCACTGTGAAAGATTATGCTTGCAGATGGCGTCCCTGCAAAGTTGGTCAATATAGTAAATCGTATTACACCCAAACCAAGGTCCGTATTCATGCCTACGGCGAAGGGTCTCATCCCTTCGGTCTGAGGTCAGGAGTAAGACAAGGGTGCCCGCTATCTCCAGTGTTGTTCAACTTCACCAGTGACTGGATTCTGCGTCGGGCAATGGAAGGTTACCAAGGCGTCCAAGTTTCCGCGGATTGCTGGATTACTGACCTCGAATTCGCCGATGACGCGGTAGTGCTTGGAAAGGACCTGACCGCCTTGCAAGCACCTCTCAACTGTATCAAAAGATTTGCCACTGAGATTGGCTTTGAGATTAATACTAACAAAACCAAGATGTTCGCTACTCCACCTGATCAAGCGGAATATCCTCTGCAACTGGATGGTCGGACAATAGAAATCGTAGCGGACTTCAATTACCTTGGGTCCACCATCCTGCCCAATGGATAAGCCAAAGATGATGTAAAGTGGCGCATCACACGGCCCGAACGGCGTTTCTGCAGCTCCGAACCACCATATGGTGCCGGAACGAGATCAACCTCAAAACCAAGCTCAGGCTTTTGGCCACAGTAGTTTGACCAGTCCTATTATGCGGCTGCGAAATCTGGACGCTGAAAGCTGAGGACATCCGACGATTGGAGGTCTTCGATCACTGGTGTCTTGGATTTATCCTGGAAGTAAGCTGGTGGGACAGGGTCCCAAACTCGGACGTCAGAAATCGATGCCACGTTGCCCGTCTCTCAGCGTACATACAACGCCGCCGACTGCAATGGCTGGGTTATGTTCTCCGCAGACCCGACGACACGCCGACACCATTTCCTGGCTGACGCCGCCAACAAGGGGGGCAAGTAAAAACCTGGCTGGACACCGCATTCGAAGACGTCGACCAACTTGGCCTTCGGGTGGTGTACGACACTCGGCGATGGAAAACAAACGGGATCAACACTTGCAATGATCTTGCAGCCAACCGCCAAACATGGATAGCGGCCATCAGAGACATTCATGGAACCGGTTTATCCTTTCCAAGGAGCTAGTGGTAGTAAAGTAAAAGTAAGTAAGATGAACCTGCCAGCGCTTACAAATCCAGTGTTACTGATGAGAGCAATCCAGACCCTTGGCCATTACTTTACACAACAGGACTTCCAATTCGGTGCAGGAATAACGCAACCTCCCCGAATTGTGCGAAAAGATGTCAGTACTAAAACCAATCGGAAACAAGGAAATTCAAGTGTATGCACAATGCAAAGCGATAAATACCAATAATTTCACAGAAATCCAAAGGGAAATAGGTGATGGTGCTGAAAAATTGTCTTATGATTCTAGTCAGGTTCCGTGCCATTTTCTAAACACTCCACCCACGAGCAAAGAAGAGTACAAGTTGAAGGAAACCCGTTGCTACGGAGGAGAGCATTATGATTTCTCAATTGGAGTCCCGATCGGAAGAAACGGAATCCATGCGCACTGATAACAGGCGCCAATAGAGACGAAGTAGCTGTCCAGTGCTCTCTGCTGACCCACGCACCTTATTTTCAAATTCTAGAACATAGACACTCCTTTCGTAGACCCACCATTTCTATCTTCCTCGATCTAAAAGCGGCTTTCGACTCAGTCGACCGCTCTAAACTCTGGCGCTGCCTTTCCCTGAAGGGAGT